AGCTGAATTCCAGAGGTGAGGTAAGAGTGACAGCCCTTGACATCAAGGCCATATACAACAGAGTGTGTTATCAAAGAGCCCTATCAAAACTGGAATCAATGGGTATCAGGGGGCAAACTCTCTATTAGTTGGAGTCATACCTGGCACATAGGAAGTTGATCATGGATGTTGGAGGTCAGTCATCTCGGTTCCAGGACATCTCTGCAGGAATTCCTCAGAGTAGTGTCCTAGGTCCAACCATCTTCAGCTGCTTCATCAATGACCTTCCCTCCATCATAAGGTCAGAAATGGGGTGTTCGCTAATGATTGCACAATGTTCAGCACCATTCATGACTCCTCAGATACAAAAGCCTGCTTCGGCCACATCTGGAGTATTGTGTCCAGTTCTGGTCACCTCATCACAGGAAAGATGTAGAAGTGTTAGAAAAGGTGCAGAGGAGATTTACCAGGATGTTGCCTGGATGGAGGCAAGGTCTTATGAGGAAAGGTTGAGAGAGCTAGGGCTTTTCTCTTTAGAACGACAAAGGATGAGAGGTGACTTGATAGAGGTGTACAAAATGATCAGAGGTATAGATAGAGTAGACAGCCAGAGACTTTTTCCTAGGGTGGAGGTAGCTTTTATGAGGGGACATAGTTTTAAAGTGAAAGGAGGTAGATATTGGGGAGACGTCAGAGGTAGGTTCTTTACTCAGAGAGTGGTAGGGACGTGGAATGCATTGCCAGAGAGGGTAGTGCCTCATTAGGGGCATTTAAGCGGCTATTCGATAGGCATATGGATGATAGTATAAGGTAGGGGTGGAGGTTAGATAGACCTTAGGTTTAGGGTAAAAGTTCGGCACAACATTGTGGGCTGAAGGGCCTGTACTGCGCTGTACTGTTCTATGTTCTGTGTTCTATGAAGCAGTCTGTGTTCAAAAGCAGCAAAGTCTGCACAATATCCAGTTTTGGGCTGACAAGTAGTGGGAACATCTGTGGTAGAGAAACTATTGGAAAAATTATGAAGGATAGAATTAATCTCAACTTGGGGAGGCAAGAATTAGTCAATATTCAGATGGCTTTATAGGGGAAGATCATGTCTAACAAATATGATTGAATTTTGCAAGGAGGTGATTAAGTCTTCTTTTTGTTATTTATATAAATGATTCAGTTGTGAAGTTAGGAAGGATGGTTAGTAAGTTTGCAGATGACACCAGAATTGGTGGTATAGTGGACAGTGAAGATGGTTACCTCAGAATACAATGGGACCTTGATCAGATGGGCTGGTGCACTGAGGAGTGGCAGATGGAGTTTAATTTAGATAAATGTGAGGCACTGCACTTTGGAAAGGCAAATCAGTGCAGGACTTACACACTTAATGCTGAGGTCCTGGGGAATGTTGCTGAACAAAAAGACCTTGGACTGCAGGTTCATAGTTCGTTGTAAGTGGACTTGCAGGTAGAGAGGGTGGTGAAGAAGGCGATGGGTACGCTTGCCTTTATTGGTCACTGCATGGAGTATAGGAGTTGGGAGGTCATGCTGTGACTGTACAGGACACTGGTTAGACCACTTTTAGAACATTGTGTGCAATTCTGGTCTCTCCGCTATAGGAAAGATGTTGTTAAACTAGAAAGGATTCAGGAAATATTGACAAGGATGTTGCCAGAGTTGGAGGGTTTGAACAAAAGGGAGACGCTGAATAGGCTGGGGCTATTTTCCCTGGAGTGTCAGAGGCTGAGGAGTGATCTTACAGAAGTTTATAAAATTATGAGAGGCATAGATAGGATGAAGATCCAAGGTTTTTTTCTCCCCAGGGTAGCGGAGTCCAAAACTAGAGATCATAGGTTTAAGGTGAGAAGGGAAAGATTTAAAAGAGACCTAAGGGTCAAGATTTTCACACAGAGGGTGGTGTGTATATGGAATAAGCTACCAGAGGAAGTGGTGGAGGCTGGTACAATTACAACATTTAAAAGGCATCTGGATGGATATATGAATTGGAAGGGTTTAGAGGGATATGGGCCAAACGCTGGAAAATGAGACTAATTTAGGATATCAGGTTGACATGGGTCTGTTTCCATGCCGTATAACTTTATAACTCTATGACTCAAGGTGTATATGGGTGAGGGTTGTGCAGTTGATGTAATCTACGTGGACTTCAGAAAGGCTTTTGATGAGGTCTCGTATGGCAGGTTGGTTATAAAGCTAAGACTTCATGGGATCCAGGGCAATTTGGCAAATTGGATGAAAAATTAGCTTTGTGGCAAGAAGCTGAAACTGATGGTTTGTTTTTGTGACCTGAAGCCTGTGTCCAGTGACATACCACAGGGTTCAGTGCACAGTTCCTTGCTGTTTGTTGTGTATATTAATGATCTAGACACAAATATAGGAAGTACAATCAGTAAGTTTGCAGATGACATGAAAATTGGTGGTTTGGTCAGCCTTAAAGTATAGACAGGGGAACTTAATCCTGAAAAGTGTGAGTGATGCATTTTGGGCAGACTAACAAGGTAAGGGAATACACATTGAGTGTTAGGACCCTGGGAAGCACAGAAGATCAGAGGGACCTTGGTGTGTCTGTCCATAGATTTCTGAAGGCAGCAGGATAGGCAGATAGTTAAGAAGGCATATGGGATATTTATCTATATTAGTTGAGGCACTGAAAACAAGAGTGAGCAGCTAATGATGGAGTTGCATGTAACGTTTGGCCACAGCTGGAGTACTGTGTGTACATCTAGTTGCCACACTAAAAGAAGGAATCATTGCACACGAAAAGGAACAGAGGAAATTTACCAGAATGTTGCTGGAATGGAGTGATTCAGCTGTGAAGAGAGACAAGATACGTTGTGGTTGTTTTTCTTAGACTAGAGAAGGTTAGTTGGGGATCTGATTTTGTTTCTGAGAAACATAGATGGAGTAGATAGGAAAAAATGTTTCCCCTTAATGGAGAGATCAACAATAAGGGAGCACAGATTTAATGTAAGGAGCAAGAGGTTAATGTTTCCACCCAGAGGAACTCACTGCCTGAAAGGATGGTAGATGCAGGAACCATCAAGGCATTTAAGAGCCTTTTGAATGAATACTTGAAACACAAAAGTATTACAAGGCTATGGGCCAAGAGCTGGTGCTTGATGATTGACATGGACATGATGGGTTGAAGGGCCTCTTTCCCTGATATAAATCTGTATGACTGTAAGGTATTGGAGATAGTTAAAAAGACATCACTAAATGGATTCTTGGGATAAAGCAGTTGATTTAAGATCAAGAGCTGATAAACAGGTTGGGCCTTTATTCCATAAGACTATAAGGTTTAGGAGCAGAATTAGGCCTTTTGGCCTATTCAAGACTGCTCCACAATTCGATCATGGCTGATATGTTTCTCAATCCCATTCTCTTGTCTTCTCCTTGTTACTTTGATCCCTTAAATAATCAAGAACCTATTAATCTCTGCCTTAAAGTCACTCAAAGACTCCATAGAACTCTGCCGCAATGAGTTCCACAGAGTCACTACCCTCTGTCTGAAGAAATTCTTCCTCATCTCAGTTCTAAAGAGTCATCACATCACCCTCACGCTGTGCTCTTGTCTCTCCTATTGGTGAAAACATCATTTTTATGTACACTCTTTCCAGGCCGCTCAGTATTCTCTAAGTTTCAGTGAAATCCACCCTCATTCAGTAGAAGAATGAGGTGGGATCTTATTCAGATGTACAAGATGATTCTGAGGGTGCACGACGGGGTTGGTTTTGAGATATCTCCATCGGTGGGAGAATCTCAAACCAATTACAGAATAAGGGGACACTCATTTACAATGGAGGTGCAGAAGAATTTCTTCTCTCAGAGGTAAGTGAATGCATTGAATTTCCTTCCCAGATTGTGCGGAGGTTAGATCACTGAAAGTATTGAAAATACAGGTTGATCGATTTTAAAAATGTCAGGGAGTTGAGAGCCATGAGGATCTAAAATGAAAGGGAAGTTAAGGGTGGAGAAGATCGGCATGATATTATTGAAAGGTGGGGCAGGCTAAGGGAACAGAATGATTTACTTCTGCTCCTATTTCTTATGTTCTAATTGTGTATCACACAGCAGAGAACCCCTGGAGTGGTAATGAAAAGTGGCATGTATTACATTGTGTTTACAACTGGGATGATAAATACTGAGGGTCATTAGCTTGTTTAAAGTTTAGAATAATTAAGAACTGATTTTGGCTTGGAAAGCCCAGAGGTCGGAAGTTTTTGAGCAACTCTGGGGGCGACCTCACTGAGGTCAGAAACATATTGTAGTTTCTCTCCTGAGAAAGGAGCATAGAACAGTTCAAGGAATAAGTTATATTCATTGAAGTTTAATTTGAATAATCTCCAGACCAGGGGTGTTTGGTTAGAAGTGTGCAGATTATTAAGAGACTGAGAAAGCCTAAGTTCTCAGAACTGACAGTATTCATGTAATAACATTTCAAAGTTCACAGGAAAGAACTGGGAAGATCGGCTCCATTAAAATTAAGGATTTGATATCGAGGGGTAATTTCACTGGATTTGAATTGCTGCAACATGATTTTGTTGGAAAGCAGTCAAAACTATGTTTTAAGATTTTCTGAACCATTTTCTAAACTTAGCTTGTGATGTTTCCTATCATGTAATAAACTTTTGTTTTGTTATTGAAGGAGGATCTGCAGACTTTTATTACTCTGTTTCAGTGAATGACCACCACATTAAAATATAATGAACATACATGATCCATCAAGGCACCCTGGATCTGACTAATTCAGTAAGAATATGAGCTGGGATCATAACAGAAAGGGTGATAGCATTTTGGAATTTGTTACTGCAACCAGCAACTGATCCCAGATCAAAGAAGTAGTGGATGTGAAATTAGCTCACAAATGAACAATGATCTTAATGAACAGTTGAGAGGTCCCAGAGGCTGAATGGCCTCCTCCTGTTCCATTATTTAAATGTTCCTGTAGGTAAAAACCTTGTGCTGTGGGAATATTCTGTTTTATTTGATTTGGGATGGAATGCGCAGCCATAGTATGAAAGCTTTGATGGTTTATTGTCAGCTTTGTGCCTACTGCCAGTACAATGAAAGAAACTACACAAAAGGAAGGTGCAGACAGGTCTGAAAAAGGTGACATGGATGTTTGTATCTAGTGTGATAGCTGACAGTTTCATAGGTATCTTCACCCTCACAGCACCGCAGGTTTTAACTCAGCTCTTGGTGCCAAAGGGAGCACCTCTCTCTCTCTCAAGCTCATGGATCTGCTTTGAGCTCAGGTTGGTTACCAAACTTCTCATCTCGGGTCACTGGGATGGGTCGATCTTGCTGGGTTAGATCATCACCTGTTCTGACCTTGGGGCAGCACAATGTTAATAAACCATCAGTAGACAATGAGCAGGAAATAGCCGCCTGGTCCAGGTTACTGGGAAGATGGTATATGCGGCGAAATTCACGGGAAACACGACCTTGGTCTTCCTATAGAGAGAGAACAATTAATCAGACCCAATGCATGAGATCAGATGGATGTGATATTCCCTAATTACCTTGTAAACAATACACAGATAATTCCTGTCTCCCATTTTTGGACATCAGTTGACCCTTTGAAATCCCCACTCGCCTGGGAGTCGTACTGGCTCATTCTTCACAATTCGGTATTAGGGCGGTCTCACTCATACCTATGTACATGCGTGTTTCAGGAAGCAGTCACATGCAAGAGAGTGTTAAGGTGCTTCATAGATACCCAGACACCTGTATTTTGCAGTCATGAGGAGTCTATGTTCCATGCAAACATGGAATTAGTAGAATGCAGCCCTTATTCACCTCTTAAGGGCAAAACAACTCAAATTTGTTTGCACTTCAGCCCTGATCTTTGGCCGCTCATTGTGGAGGAGGCCAAGCAGATCAGAGACCTTCCTCATGAGTCTGCTCCTGGGCCTGGCCATTGTCAGAAGTCCAGGCAGTTAGTGGTCTTGGGGATTGAGGAACCCGACTGCTTCGTGCCTCTCCTTGGGAGCCCCTGTGGGAGGAATGCTTGTGACCTCAGACAACCAGTGGGTACAGCAGGGGCTGAAGTTCATCACTTCCACACAAAATTATATTTTAATTCAGATTTCAGACTTTTGTTACAATGCCCTTTAAAAGGTCAATATCCCTGCATTTGATTCAATTTGGTTTAATTTGTTTTTGCAGACTTTAAAAGCTTATCCCTATTTCTGGAGTAGAAATCTTGTTTGTCTCACACATACCTGCATCAGGGAGGTCCATCTTTTATTGCTGGTTTTGGGAAACTTTGTTTAGCCTCTTTTTTCACACTCCTGAACCTGGGGAGCTTCTTCTAATACCTTTCATATTTCTGTAGTGAGAACTCTCCTCTAAATCTCCTCTCACCACTACATCTTTGGAAGTGCAATAATGTCTCAATTTCAGAATTCTTGTCTAGTTTTTAAATCCCTTCATGAATTTGCCTTGATCTCTTTGTCACATACCCTCCATGATATCTGCTCTCATTTACTTCCAGCCTCATGCAACCCCCAAATTTTAACCATCCATCATTAGCGGTCTGGGCCCCAAACTCTGAACGCCCTTGTCTGCGTTCCCTTGGCCACTCATTTTCTATATTCAGAGATTCCTTCAAGCCTCTGTCTTTGACAAAGTGTTTGCAGTCTTGGTTAGGGAGGGTACAGTGAAGGAGCCACCAGGAGGTAGTCATCATAATATGACTGAATTCACCCTGCAGTTTTAGAGGAAGAAGATTGAATCAGAAGTAACAGTCTTACAAATTAAGCAAAGGTAACTACATAGACTGAGGAAGGAACTGGCCAGAGTTGATTGGAAGGCGGGGGGGGGAAGCAAGCAGGGAAGACAGTGGAGCAGCAATGGCAGGTGTTTTTAGGGGTAATTCAGGAGACACAACAGAAATTCATCCCAAGGAAGAAGAAACATACTGAAGGGAGGATGAGGCAACTATGGCTGACAAGGGAAGACAGGGACAGCATAAAAACAAAAGTGGAAATTAGTGGGAAGCCAAAGGATTGGAACGCCTTTAAAAACTGGTCAGGATAATTAAAAATGCAAATAGGATGGAGAAGATGAAATATGAGAGTAAGGAAGCTGGTAATATAAAGGAAGATTGCAAGAGTATTTTTAGATATCTAATAGGTAAGACAGACGCAAGATTGGATGCCAGAAAATGAGGCTGGAGAAGTAGTAATGGGGAACAAAGAAATGGTGGAGCAACTGAATAGGTACTTTGCATCAGTTTTCACAGTGGAAGACACCAGTAGCATATCACAACTTCAAGAGAGTCAGGGGCTAGATGTGAGTCTAGTGGCCATCACTAAAGATCAAGCTGCTGGGGAAGCTGAAAGGTCTGAGAATGAATAAATCACCCAGGCTGGACGGACTACACCCAAGAGTTCTGAAGGAGATAGCTGAGAAGATTGTAGAGGCATTGCTGGGGATCTTTCAGGAATCACTGAAGTTAGTGGGGGGTCCCAGAGGCCTGGAAAATGGCTAATGTAACACCAAAAAAACTGCAGATTCTGTAAATCAGAAACAAAAATAGAAGTTGCTGGAAAAGCTCAGCAGGTCTGGCAGCATCTGTAAAGAGAAATCAGAGTTTACATTTCAAGTCGAGTGGTCATTGGGAAGATTTTAGAATCCATTATTAAAGATGAAATTGCGGAGAATTTGGAAGTGCATGGTAAAATAGGGCTGAGTCAGCACAGATTTGTCAAGAGGAGGTCATGCCCAGCAAATCTGTTAGAATTCTTTGAGGAAGCAATGTGCAAGTTAGACAAAGGAGAGTCAGTGGATATGATCCATTTGGATTTCTAGAAGGCCTTGGAAAGGTGCCACACAGGAGGCTGCTAAATAACATAAGAGCCCATGGTGTTTGGGGCAAGATACTGGCATGGATAGGAGTCGCTGACTGGTAGAAAGCAGAGAGTGAGGATAAAGGGGTCTTTTCAGGATGGCAGCTGGTGCTAGTGGAGTTCAACATGGGTTAGTGTTGGGACTACAATTATTCACGTTATATATTAACGATCTGCATGAAGGAACTGAGGGCATTGTTGCTATGTTTGTAGAGGACATAAAGGTAGGTGGAGAGACAGTTAATATTGAGGAAGCAGGAAGGCTGCAGAAGGACTTGGCCATGCTAGGAGAGTGGAAAGAACTGGCAGATGGAATACAATGTGGGAAAGTGTGATATTATGCACCTTGATAAGAAGAATAGCGGCGTAGACTCTTTTCTAAATGGGGAAAGGCTTTGGAAAACTGAAGCACAAAGAGACTTGGGAGTCCTAGTTCAGGAATCTTTTCAGGTTAACATGTCGGTTAAGTTGGCAGTTAAGGAATTAGCATTCATTTCAAGAGGGCTAGATTACAAGAGCAGGGATGTACCTCTGAGGCTGTACAAAGCTCTGGTCAGACCGCATTTGCAATATTGTGAACAGTTTTAGGCCCCATATCTAAGAAAGAACACATTGGCATTGGAGGAGGTCCAGAGGAGGTTTACAAGAATGATCCCAGGAATGAAGAGCTTATCACATGAGGAATGGTTGAGTACTTTGTATCTGTAGTCGATGGAATTTAGAAGGATGAGGAGGGATCTGATTGAAGTTTATAGAATACTAGGCTGCCTGGATAGAGTGGACATGGAAAAGATGCTTCTGCTAGTAGGAGCGACTAGGACCCAAGGGCACAGCCTCAGAGTGAAGAGACAATCATTTACAACTGAGAAACTAAGGAATTTCTTCAGTCAGAAGGTAGTGAATCTGTGGAATTCATTGCCACAAAAGGCTGTGGAGGCCAAGTCATTGAGTGCATTTAAAACAGAGATAGATAGGTTCTTGATTAGTTAGCAGATCAAGGATTACAGGGAGAAGGCAGGAAAATGGCGTTGAAAAACATATGCGTCATCTACTGGGTGAGTAGATTCAATGGGCCAAATGACCTAATTCTGCTCCTACATCTTATGGTCTTATAAACTGAGTTTAATTGCATAATTGGTGTCACACTCTGTTTTATAATCTCCTGTGAAGCATTCTAGACATTTTCATTACGTTAAAAGCAGTCTTTAAACAGTTAACTGTTGTTGTTATTATCTCTGTTATACTGGAGTGCTGAGAGGTCTCTGTGACTCCTCCCACTCCAGGCCCTGGAAGTTCCCTCACACACTCCACTTCATTTATTCATTCATGGGATGTGGCCAGCATTTATTGCCCACCCCTCGTTGCCTTTAAGAAGGTGGTGGTGAGCTGCAGTTCACTTACTGTGGGTTGAATACAATGTCCCTTGGGAGTGAATTCCAGGATTTTGACCCAGTGATATATTTCCAAATCAGGATGGTGAGTGGGTTGGACGGGAACTTGGAGGTGGTGGTGTTCTGATATATCAGCTGCCCTTGTCCGTCTAGATGGAAGTGGTTGTGGGTGTGGAAAGTGCTGCCAGAGGATCTTTGGTGAATATCTGAAATGCATCTTGTAGATAATACACACTCTACTACTGAGCATCGGTGGAGGGTGTGGATGCTTGTGGATGTAATACCAATCAAGCGGGCCGCTTTGTCTTGGATGGTGTAAAACTTCTTGAGGGTTGTTGGAGCTGCACGCATCCAGACAAATGGAGAGTATTCCATCACACTCCTGACTTGTACCTTGTCGATGGTTGACAGACTTTGGGGAGTCAGGAGGTGAGTTACTTGCCGCAGTATTCCTAGCCTCTGACCTGCTCTTGTAGCGACTCTGTTAAAGTGGTGAGTCCATTTGAATTTCTGGTCAATGATAATTCCCAAGGTGTTGATATTACTAAGAAAGTTCCACCGGATTTGTCAAAGATGATTTCTCTTTCATAAATCATTTCATAGATTCTAATCTTTTCCCTGCGACTGACATTAAACTAAAAGACTTTATATCCCCATTCTCTCTCCCCTAATGAAAAAGCTGGGTTACATTTGCTACTTTCTCATCAGCAGGAATGTTTCCAGAATCTTTAGAATGCTGAAAGATAATCACCAATGCACCGACTATCTCTACAACCATCTCCTCCACTTTAGGATGAAGGTCATCTGGTTCCAGCATTTGTCAACCTTCAGTCCAGCTAACTTTTCCAGTGCTATCTCTTTAATATTATGAATGCTTTTCAGCTCAGTTTCACAAATCCCTTGGTCATCAAGTATTTCAGGGAGATTATCTGTATCGCCATGAACCCTAATCTTGCCCTCTCTCATGTGGTGAGCTCAATGATGAGAAAATTGAGGAAATGCAGAGAAAACGAATATTCAGAATCCAAACACTGAAAAAAAAGTTTTGCTATTTTCCCCTTAACCCTTAAATAGCAACTTTGGAATTGTGCTATTGAATGGTGATTGCCTTATTTCCATTGCATTTGCATCCTAACCTGCCTCACTTCTGTGCAGTTTTTAGTTCTCCTCTCCTTCCTCAAGAAAGTAGACAGTGCAAACTCAGCTCAAG